TGTTTTATATCTTGGCTAAAAAGGTCGACTCCGTCGTGTAGCGGCTAGAGGCTCGACTTCCATCATAAAATCCTTGGTTGGAATCAAAATCCAGGCAGGTGTTTTTCATCTTAGCTAAAAGTTCGAACTCCGTTATGTAGCGGCTAGATGCTCGTCTGCAGATCAGAAGATCGCTTTTTCAGGTAATGATGGAACCGGGCTTTCTTCAAAAGTGACCTTGGCTCCTAGGTTGACAAAGTCTTGAGTGGGTACTCCTGGAAAGTAAAGGCAGCCGGCATGATGTTTACCACATCACCCACCAAGTGCTGATTGATCTATAAAATATAGGTCTAGCCTTGTATGCCCAAAAGGTCAGCAGGCGTGCATAAGGGATCATTTGCTTTTTTACTCGACTTTAAAAGGTCGATCCAGGCTAAAATAAGTAAAAGATAAAAGCCATGGGAAGTAATGGCGGCCGGCGTGACGCTGACGACACCATCCACTGAAATCGATTGGTCTAAAAAGATGAGTTTTTTTTTTCCACAGGGGTCGCCAAAGACCATCAGAAAACACACATTTATTGAAGTTATAAAGTAGCGACGATAATAACTGTATGGTTAGGGGTCGTCACAACATGAGGAACTGTATTAAAGATTCGCCACAACATGAGGAACTGTATTAAAGATTCGCCACAACATGAGGAACTGTATTAAAGAGTCACGGCATTAGAAAGGTTAAGAACCACCGCTCTATGCCATGATATCAAACTGTCCGCCATCCTTCTCTCAGTCTCGCTCTAACTATAATTACACCTAAAGAAAATAAATGGATCGGAGCTATTTAACATACACATTAAATGTTATATATCAAATGGTTTGGAGTTTTTCGTGTGGATTTCGGGACCCCATTGTGGGAGGGGGGGGGGAGAGAATGGGGAAGGGGGAAACACACACACACCCAATTGCCACTCTCTCCAAAGTGAGTTTAAAAAAGCCGACTAATAATGTGTGTTTTCTCTGAAGTCGGAGTGCATCTGCATGAGAGTCAAGGTGCCTGTAGTCTGCATACCAATAAGCCAGATATTTAAACTAGATGTGAATCTCCATCTCAAATCTCAAACAAATAAGCCAGATATTTAACCTGAATGTGAATCTCCATCTCAAATCTCAATACAAATAAACCAGATATTTAACTTAAACCTGTATGTGAATCTCTATCTCAAATCTCAATACAAATAAGCCAGATATTTAACCTGAATGTGAATCTCCATCTCAAATCTCAATACAAATAAGCCAGATATTTAACCTGAATGTGAATCTCCATCTCAAATCTCAAGTTCTGTTTAAATCCAAAAGTGCTGGAGCAACCGAAACGTTCCCACAGATGAACACGAAGAAGAATAAACGGTTCAGGCGTGTGTCAAAACTACCACAAGACAGTGCGCTACAAACAGCCCTAACACAACGGAAGGAGACCTAGAGCTCGCCTACGCAAGAAATAGGTAGATGGAATATCAGAGGACTGTAAATACGCGCATCTACGTAACATACACCAAAGCTGAACCTAGATGTATAACTCTTAAAAACCCGAGACAATGATAGAAAGAACATAGTCTGGGGAGGGGGGGGGGTGTGGGATAAGAGAAGAAAGCAAAACTAAGTGTTGATAACTTAACAAGAACATTACATTGCAAGAAGAAAAAACGTTGGCAAAACATACTTCTTTGGCACAAATTTCAGTCAGACAAAGCAGAGCAAGTCTGAAAATGTATTCAGTTTAAAATGTTTTCGTGCGGCCTAAAATATATATAAAATCAAAGATAAAACGTGCAGCAAATAAAGAAATAAGCAGAAAGCACAAACAAATAAACACTTGGGTGACTGTTGGACTTCAAAGGCAAGAAGTATTTCTTTATCGCAGCGCCATACTTAAAACAGAATTATAAATATACAGCAAGCTATTCATGTGAGAAACCTCGGAAACTCTTGACTAAAACATCAGGAACATAAACTCATTGAAAAGATATGTTATGTCAATATATAATTGGATGCAAGCATCTTTTCCCCCTTGGTTTACTGGTTAAGTCAGTTTGCGTTAACTGTGTTTGCCTTTTTGTTATTTACTTGTTCACTGTTCTTTATTTGTGTTAATGGTCGTAATTTATTTTTTTAATATTTGTATTCCGATAGCATCTTCTACTAGAGTAATGCAGACAACTCACTATGTGATTTCTTTCTTTCTTTCTTTCTCTCTTTCTTTCATTCATTCTTTCTTTCTTTGTTATTTCCTTCCTTCTTCTTCTTAAAGTCCATGTCGTGTGGCGTTGAATCAGTGTCTATACACACCTTCTGCCTCGTGTATTTTCAATCAACTCTGACAAAGATGATCCTCCATGCAATGATGTCAAACTGTCCAGCATCTTTCTTCTCGGTCTCCTTCTGCCTCTCCTCTCCTCCAGCTTTCCTACTGTCACGATGTACTCCAGTTTTCTCCTTCTTATAACATGGTCAAAGATTGCAGATTGCCTCTTTCTGATATGGAGACATCCTCATTACTCTTTTTTTATCTTTTCGGTGTATTCTCTGCATTCGTCTATAAAACCACATCTCCGCAGCTTCCAAATAAGTTTTTACCAAGTTAACAACCGTACATCATTCACTTCCATATATCAAGATAGGAATTATATATATCTTTTAAGAATTCCCTTTCTCGTCTCAATTGACAAAGAAAGATTGCATAAAATATTCTTTATTTTGTAAAACGCTGCACTTGCTTGAACTGTTCTAAATTTAACTTCTTTAATACATCTTCCATCTGATGTTAGCAGGGTACCCGAGTACTTAAACATATCAAATTGCTTGAGTTTTGTCCTATGTACTTTAATGTTGCATTTTGGACAGTCAGTTTTCTTTGTAATTGCCATTACTTCTGTTTTTATGTTTTTCAAACTAAGACCCCTGTTTTCACTTTCCGTTACAATTATATTCCTCATTTCTTGCAGTTGTGTTTAATTTTCAGCGATCAAAACTATATTTATTTCCTTCCTACCTATCTTAAGTTTATTACATGTTTACTCCATCTCCATAACTGAGGTTGACGGCAATATATTTACTGCCAGCTCTCTTCAACGTACGATTAACCTACTACTGTCTGAAAGACACAAGAACCTTTTAAATCGCCTACAGCGGAAATGAGCGGAGGTAAACGTATAGGATTATAGTGTCAAAAGATTTCACCAACCTCTAAGCCAGGGTCGCACCTTACCACCCTATTTATCAATCCACACTCACTCATCCATATACCCACACACTCATCAGTCCGCCTACCCGTCTTTCCTTTCGACGACTAACTAGAACGTAATTATCCAGGGTTAAACATTTACGCGCTACAACCCGGACTACCACCGTACATTGCTGCCTGCATATGCCACTTTTGCGATACGGTCTGAAAAGTTGGGGGCCACATGGCTAGTGGTGTCGCCACAGACTCTGCAAATTAGAATGTAATTTTTCCCCCCGACTAAACAAATCCCAACCTTACCGAAGATTCGAATCCGGGTCTTTTGTTTGAGATCTCAGCGTTCTAAGATTCGGCAAGCCGCCCCTGGCCACCCGAAAATGAAATCAAAACAGAGGGGGGGGGGGGGGGGGAGAGGGGGGAGGAAGGAAGCTAACAAACCAACTATAACTGGAACGACGTAAAATATTCATGTCAGCGGGGCCAGAAATAGCCAAGCAGCGGCACTGTCCAAGAAACAATCGATCAAATATGCTAAAAGTGGCGACTGCATCTACAGTCTGGGCTATCAAATAAACATTAAACGCTGAGTCGAAACAGGCAATGAAAACAGTTTACTTAATTAAAACACAAAAACCTTTCAACCGCAAACAATATCTTGAAAAAAAAAAACATCAACAACTTAGGTCAACAAAACAGAACTGTAAAGCGGTGAATTAGGAAATTCGTTGTCTGAATGCTATCTTTTTGTATTGTCAATTACGATTTAATCTGGTGCATCAGGGTTGACACTATATAACGTTAAATACATTTTCCATGCCAATATGCTTCAGCTATTCTACATCAAACTGCTTTAACACATCTTACATCTGCGGTTATCTAATTATTTAAACGTATCGAGATACTTCATTTGAGTTGATTCAAGAATCGACATCACAGAAGTAGGGACATTCCCATAAGCGCTCCGTCCCCATCTTCAGCAGTCAGCGCAAAGTTTCCACACCAGTGGTGCCAGTAATCTGTCTTGGCTTTCCTTTAAGCGTCGAGCATCGACCAAATCCCCTCGTAACTTCTCGCTGTATCACTCTCACCAGACTGTGGTCATCCACTTGCTACTCCGAACTGTACACATTCTCCCACAAGGCAATAACCACGTCTACTTTATCGTTCATCAATATTCCACCAAGTTGTGCAGAGTCAGCCCATCTGTCCGCCAGTTAATTTTCCAACAAACCAGCATGACCTGGAGAAAAGGTCCAGACAATGCTCCTCACCCGTGACCGAAGCGAAGAATGCCTGTCCTCACAATGCTTGCTGAGGCAGAAGTAAGTAAGTAAATGAAATTTAAAAAAAACACACCTCAACACGCCACTGGGACATCGAGAAACATGGTGCTAGATTTTTTTTTTTTTTTTTTTTTAAACATTTAGCAATTGATTGGTGATGTCGCAAATATCACACCGGCCGCCATTATTTCACATGACATTACATGATACCCTTCTTCGGCATGGGAGGTAAGGTTTAAAACAAAAGAAATCTATAGAAAAATACGGCAGACAATTCCAGCAAAATAAGAGACAAATAACCGCAAGACAACAGTTTAAACGCAGCAAGACAAGAAAGAAACACCATAACAGATAAATACAGCAAAATAAGGGACAAATGAAACAAGATAACGCGTAATTCCAGCGAGACAAGAAACAATTAAAACTATAGAGAACGGTAAAGAGACAAGAGACCTAGCAAAGCTACACACCACAATATGAAAGACTAGAATTACTCACCAGAGATAGGGTCAAGAAATGTCCGTGTTTTCTGGTCATGTCGATTGTGGCCATTCTCTTTAACGTCTACAACATGAAGCAAACATAATAATTAGAATAAAACGTACAGTAAACATATAGATACGTCGTCATCATGTGCCATGTTGATAAGCACAGGCTGTCAAGTTACTCCGTCTCACACCAGAATCACAGATCTGGTCAACATCCTTGTCCCGCCCCATCCATGTGGCTGAGACAGCCGGCTATTTATCCCTGGCTCTTTTTATATCAACCCTGCCAGTTGTCACCAAGTTCGCGAGTCTATTCCTTCTTGTAAGATATCTAAAAACTGGGACTGTTTACTTCCAATTGTTCTAATTACATTACGACTATAGTCTGTCTTGATAAGGACTGATTTGTTTGTTTTTATAACACTTCATGATATTCTTTGCATTCCCCCCCCCCCCCCCCCCCCCCCCCAAAAAAAAACACATCTCTGCCGCGAGTACATTTTTCAACCTTGTCTGCCGAATGCCCATAATAAATAAATGAATACCCACAGGTACACATGTATACATACCCACAGGTACACATGTACACAAATGTACCCTTTTTGAACTACATGACATATTGTTAGGACTACCAAAATAGTGTATCATTTTGCTCAAATATTTTATTATAATACAGAAAATGTGTAAGTATAACTGTAATAGTCAACTAGCATCTTCGTGGAAAATTGATAATACTACAATCCACAAAATAAGTAGTAGTAGTAGTAATAACATCAACAAAGAACATCAGTTGTAGTAGATAAGTAGTAGTAGTAGTAGTAGTAGATTAGTAGTAGTAGTAGATTAGTAGTAGTAGTAGATTAGTAGTAGTAGTAGTAGTAGTAGATTAGTAGTAGTAGTAGTAGTAGTAGTAGTAGTAGTAGTAGTAGTAGTAGTAGTAGTAGTAGTAGTAGTAGTAGAAGTAGTAGATTAGTAGTGGTAGTAGTAGTAGTAGTAGATTAGTAGTAGTAGTAGATTAGTAGTAGTATTAGTAGTAGTAGATTAGTAGTAGTGGTAGTAGTAGTAGTAGTAGATTAGTAGTAGTAGTAGTAGTAGTAGTAGTAGTAGTAGTAGTAGTAGTAGTAGTAGTAGTAGTAGTAGTAGTAGAAGTAGTAGATTAGTAGTGGTAGTAGTAGTAGTAGTAGATTAGTAGTAGTAGTAGATTAGTAGTAGTATTAGTAGTAGTAGATTAGTAGTAGTAGTAGTAGTAGTAGTAGTAGTAGTAGTAGATTAGTAGTAGTAGATTAGTAGTAGTAGTAGTAGATTAGTAGTAGTAGTAGTAGTAGATCAGCAGCAGCAGCGGCGGCAGCAGCGGCAGCGTCGGCGGCAGTAGTAGTAGTAGTAGTAGTAGTAGTAGTAGTAGTAGTAGTAGTAGTAGTAGTAGAAAGTAGTAGTAGTAGTAGTAGTAGATTTGTTGCTGTTGTTGTAGTGTAGAACAGCAGCAGCAGTAGTATTGTCTGCGTTGGTTTAGTAGTAGTAGTAGTTAGTAGTAGTAGTAGTAGTAGTCGTAGTAGTAGTAGTAGTAGTAGTAGTAGTAGTAAAGCAGTATTAGTAGTAAATTGTTGTTGTAGCAGTAGGAGTAGTAGTAGTAGTAGTAGTAGTAGTAGTAGTAGTAGTGAGTAGTAGTAGTAGTAGTAGTAGTAGTAGTAATTGTTGTAGCAGCAGCAGTAGTAGTAGCAGTAGTAGTGATGTAGTAGTAGTAGTGGAATTAGCAGCAGCAGCCATAGCACTAACTTTAGCAGTAGTAGTATATCGTGGTAGCTAATGTGATAATATAAACATAATAAACATGCAAACAGTATATTATGCAATTTACGGATAGAATAATAAGGTCAGGTAATCCTGCCTTATGTAAACAAAAGGATCAAGTAGTTAATCTCAGACTTATGAGGTGTACAGTATAATAATGAACAATGTGATTACTGTACTACAGTCTAATGCCCAAAGGGTTTATTTTCGTGCTTAATTATATGTTGATATAAATTATGGTCTGTACCTGACAAGTTACACCATAATGAACCATTAACAAATTGTATAATATATTGTTGGTTTGAAATTCGAAAGGGAAAGGGATGGTTTGAAGTTGCCATAACAGTAAAACCTGCAGTACTAATAATAATACAAAACATCTGTTTCCCGTTGTAAATTTAAATGATGGGCACACAAACAAAACAATTGCACAGTGGTAATGCACTTGATGAGATACAGCAAAATATGCCAGCAATAAATTGTGCAATGTATTGCTTGTACTGCGGACACTTCTATATAAATCAAAATGTAAATGTTCGTTTGTTCCAAATCTTCAATCTCCGAAAATTCTTAACAGATTGATTTGAAATTTTGATACAATGTTGCAGTCGAATATGGGCGTGTTTTTATATATCTCTTAATATAAAGATGCCATAAACATATTAGAAACGTGCGCTTTCTAAAATATATACTGTTCTCATTATATTTAGAAACACTGGCAGCCATAACTAACAATATGCGCACCATCATTGCACATTATGTAGTGATCATATAATTATACATTTCTGAGTGAATGTGACGGGCAAGTGATAACAGGCTTTGCCCTGGTATGCAGCGGAGCGGGTAGAACAGTTGATGGACCTGCGCTTTCTCTTTTCTGCCTTTTTATCTAAGCCAGTGGTTCTCAACCTGGGGGTCGCTACCCTTTTTTCGGTTAAATCACGACTCTTTTTTCGGTCAAACGACCCTTTCATAACGGCCGCAAAAAACAATCGGAAAACACAAATTCACTGAAGTTATGAAGTAGCAAAGAAAATAATTGTATGGCTAGGGGTCGCCACAACATGAACTGTATTAAAGGGTCGCCCCATTAGAAAGGTTGATCTAACCAGACTGAGCCACAGCAACGCGTGGCCGGGTACAGCTAAATATATAAATAAAAAAGAACAGTAGCAGCAGAATTACAAACATTTTATTCCTGTAGCAGCAATAATAACAGTAGTAGTAATGGTTTTGGTTGTGGTAGTAGCAAGTAGTGGTTGTGGTGGCAGTAGTAGGTAGTAAGTAACCTAATTATTTAGCAGTAAAATATGCAGTAAAAATGGTAACAATAATAAACTGATTACTGCAGCAATAGAATAAGTAGTATTTTATTCTTATAGCAGCAGCAGCAGCAGTAGTAGTAGCAGCAGCAGTAGTAGAAGCAGCAGCAGTAGTAGTAGTAGTATAGCAGCAGTAGTAGTAGTATAGCAGTAGTAGTAGTAGTAGTAGTAGTAGCAGCAGCAGCAGCAGCAGCAGCAGCAGTAGTAGTAGGTAGTAGTAGTAGTAGTAGTAGTAGTAGTAGTAGTAGTAGTAGTTAGTAGTTAGTAGTATAGCAGCAGTAGTGTTGGTGGTAATAGTAGATATGTGGTAGCAGCAGTAGTAGAAGTAACTCAGTTACCTAGAGTGGATGTAACCGATGCTGACTGTGAACAGCCCACTCCCATGAGAATCAGCAGCGTCACAGTCATGAATACAGGATGTCGGATTGACCACGGAAAGTCTCACACAGGATACCTCTTCATGCGTGTGGATGAGACGTTGTGTTGAATACAGGTTATCAATAACTACATCGGCACACGCTTAGACATGCGAGTGACCGAGTCGTTGTAAGGAATACGAGATTTTAATATTTACAACAAAAAGTTGGACACTAGCCGAATCGTCACACAAGTCACTAAGTAGTGTCAAATACGTGATATCGGTATTTACAACAATAAAATATCACATTACCAAAATCGTCACACAAGTCACCGAATCTTAGTGACGAATACGGGTCATCAGCATTTACAACAACACAGTCTTACACAAGTCACGGTGCCGTAGTGAGCAAATCAGGATGACAGTAGTAACAACAAAACTAGGATGTGGGATTTCCCAGGGAATGGCTCACATTGGCTGTGTATTCACGCGAATGGGTGCGCAGTTGTGAAAAATAAACCTTATAAATATTTACACCAGCTCATAATCAGACACGTTAGTGTCTGAGTCGTCAAAAGGAATACGCGATTTCAATATTTACAACAGAAAGTTGTACACTGGTAGAATATTCCCACAAGTCACTGAGTCGTGACAAATATGTGGTCTCGTTATTTACTACAACAAAAATGGCACAACGTTACTGAGTCGTATTGTTAACATATCATCAACTTCATCACAGTATCACAAGAAATAAGCGTGCACGCGACGCGTGACAGTTTAGTCTAAGCTAGGACATGAAACAGACGAAGAATCTTCAACAACAATGTATCCTACGGACATTCATTGCAGATGATAAGAAAATTCATTCACGGTAAGTATACTATGTCCTTCAACATCTGCTAAAGTCAAAGTGTCTGTCTCGCAACATCAAGATCAAAATATGTAAAACGTTAATAAGACCAGTCGTTTTATATTGCTCTGAAATCTGGAGCACAACTAAAAAAAAAAAAAAAGATGAAGTCCGTATTCAGGTTCTCGAAAACTGAGTCTTAGGACGAATCTTTGGACCCATCAAAGATGCAAACAGCGGGAAATGGAGAGTGAGAAGCAACAAAGAAATTCATAATCTGTTTAAATCACCACTGACATCTGACATCATGAGAGTTAAAGACTGAAATTGTTAGGGCATACTGAAAGTCGAGGACCATAAAGCAGACCAAGAAGAAGACGGTGAGATAACATTCAGACAGACCTGCAAACACCTGGTGTCACCAACTGGAAAGAGAAGGCCAACCAGAGAGATGAATGGAGGTGTTTGATATCTGCAGCAATGAACCTCAAGGGCTCGGAATGCTAAAGAAGACGAAGAAGAAGAAGAAGAAGAAGAAGAAGAAGAAGAAGAAGAAGAAGAAGAAGAAGAAGAAGAAGAAGAAGAAGAAGAAGAAGAAGAAGAAGAAGAAGAAGAAGAAGAAGAAGAAGAAGAAAAAGAAGATGATTCACGGTAATTATTTTTTTAATGCAGTACTACCTAAAGAAAGTTGTACATTTTTAATTATTATATATATATTCTGTCTACGGATCACACATTTATTGTAAACTTTTTTAAAA